CCCAAGGAAAACAAATTACCCCGCGACGTACCCAACCCTTTCTATACATGTGATGATTACACTCATGACCACTCAATGCTGACGGGCATGGCGGAAGAAGAGCACCCAGCAGTGACATCAGAAGAGCGCAGCAAGAAAAGCAGCGGCAACGCGTAAGACGTACCTTTGCTGGGCCTCCCAGGAGCCCACGAAAGTGGCGACAGTTGCGCAGATCGCAGACCCCCCAGGACACCGCGAGGTCTCGAGGTGATCCGCGTTGGACGTACCTCCGCTCGGCCTGCCAGGAGCCCACGAAAGTGGCGACAGTTGCGCAGATCGCAGCCCCCCAGGGCGCCGCGAGGTCCCGAGGTAATCCGCGTTGGACGTACCTCCGCTGGGCCTCCCAGGAGCCCACGAAAGTGGCGACAGTTGCGCAGATCGCAGCCCCCCAGGGGCACCGCGAGGTCCCGAGGTGATCTGCGTTGGACGTACCTCCGCTGGGCCTCCCAGGAGCCCACGAAAGTGGCGACAGTTGCGCAGATCGCAGCCCCCCAGGGCACCGCGAGGTCCCGAGGTGATCCGCGTTGGACGTACCTCCGCTGGGCCTCCCAGGAGCCCACGAAAGTGGCGACAATTGCGCAGATCGCAGCCCCCCAGGGCACCGCGAGGTCCCGAGGTGATCCGCGTTGGACGTACCTCCGCTGGGCCTCCCAGGAGCCCACGAAAGTGGCGACAGTTGCGCAGATCGCAGCCCCCCAGGGCACCGCGAGGTCCCGAGGTGATCCGCGTTGGACGTACCTCCGCTGGGCCTCCCAGGAGCCCACGAAAGTGGCGACAGTTGCGCAGATCGCAGCCCCCCAGGGCACCGCGAGGTCCCGAGGTGATCCGCGTTGGACGTACCTCCGCTGGGCCTCCCAGGAGCCCACGAAAGTGGCGACAGTTGCGCAGATCGCAGCCTCCCGCCGCGAGGGCGAGGTGATCCGCGTTGGAGTACCTCCGTGGGCCCGGATCCCATCAAAGTGGCGACAGTTGTGCCGCAGTTGCGCCGCGAGGTCCCGAGGTGATCCGCGTTGGACGTACCTCCGCTGGGCCTCCCAGGAGCCCACGAAAGTGGCGACAGTTGCGCAGATCACAGCCCGACGGCACGAGAGAAGAGGAGAGGGGAACACAGGAAACAGGAGAGAAGGAGGGGAGGAGGGGGGAGGAGAAGGAGAAGGAGGCCGGGGCGACCACACTGCTCTATTCCAAAAGAGTACCCAACCATAGGAGGGTTGGGAATAATTGTAACCCTGCCCGGCCTTCCTGGTGGACGTCTTGGAGGGCTCTTGGGCCGTCTTGGAGGCCTCTTGCAGGCCTTTTGGGCAGTCTTCGACCATCTTGACGCCATCTTGGGCCGTCTTGGGTGCATCTTGGGGCCATTTTGGCCGTCTTGGAGGCCATCTTGGCCGTCTGGAAGGCATCTTGGAGGCTATTTTGGCAGTCTTGGAGGCTATCTTAGGCTATCTTGGGCGTCTTTCGAGCCTCTTGGGCCGTCTTGGGGCCTTCTTGGGGCCGTCTTGGGGACCTCTTGGGCCGTCCTGGGACCGTCTTGGAGGCCTCTTGGGCACTCTTGGGGCGATCTTGACGACCTCTTGGGCAGTCTTGGGCCGTCAGAAGGCCGAAAAGGAGCAAAAGCCAAAATCCTTCAAGAAAAATCAATGGTTTTGAGCTCTTCGGACCATCCTTGAGGACCCTGGCGGACCTCTTGGAGGCCTCTTGGGCCGTCTTGGAGGCCTCTTGGAGGCCTCTGGGGCCGTCTTGGGCCGTCTTAGGTGTTTCTTATGCGAACTTGGGGGCATCCTGGACTCTCTTGGGCCGTCTTCGAGGCCATCTTGGACCATCTTGGGCGAACTTGGAGGCAATCTTGGGCCGTCTTGGCCATCTTAGAGGCCATCTTGGAGCCATCTGCAGCAGGAGCAACTTTTGGAGCCACCTCTCAAGCAGTCCGGGCAAGGTCCGGGGAGCAGCGGTATCGGTGCCTTGTGGTATCCCCAGCCTGGGGAACTTGGATCTTCCGCAATCCTCATCGGGTGGTGACCTTGGCCTCAGGTGTCCCGAGCTCGCCTCTCCATCTTGGGGCCCCCTGCGACCTGCTGGTCCTGGCGGCGGGGTGCTCGGAAGCCTGCGCGGGTGGGCCCCCCTGTGGCAGTCCTGGGGGCCACCCTGGGCCGGAGGCACCTCCGGCACCGCCAGACCTCTTGCCGCGGCACCCGGGTTCGAGGGGCGACCTCGCCTCGCCCGCCGCGCCGGGGCGTCCAGGGTGGGGGGTGAGGACTATCAGGGGTGCACGGACGTCGTGGTCGTGGCGGTGAGCACTCCCAGATCTCATGGTCAGCACGCCGCCTGCCCCCCCTCGCAGTCTACTGTCCGCGCACGTGCCACGGGCCATGATGCGCTCGTCCTGGCCCCCCCTCGGCTCGCCCTCCTGGATCTTCCTGCTGCCCTCGACCCTCCTCTTCCACCTGCTCGATGCTCCTCGAGCCTCTGTCCCGGATCCTCCCTCCTCCTCGATGCTCCTCCTCCCCCTCCATCCTGTTGCCTCCCAGATAATCCCTCCTCGTCTGACCGCCAAGACGTGTTGGTAGAGCCGGTCTTGCGCTTCGCCTAAGACGTGTTCACAACGTATGATCTTGAGGGTAAGAGTTCCCGACAGTTGGAAGGATCCAGGACGAGCCGTTTCCATAATGGAGCTCTCGCCTTAGCGCCGCGCGCATTCGTCCTAAGGGCTCGCGGCACTTAGAGGGGTTGAGGGCGGGCCGTTATCAAAATGGAGCTCTCGTCTCGACCCCCCCACATTCGTTTTGAAAGCTTGCAGCACATTCAATGATGGAGGGCGTTTCTTTCTTGAAAAGGGGCTCTCGCCCTTGCGCCGCGCACACCCGTTTGCAAAAAAGCAACAGCTCCAGGAGTGGAGGGTGGCTCCCTTTCGAAATGAGTTTTTGCGTTAGCTAAAAACTCGCAGCAGTTATAAGGATAGATACAGTTTCTTTTCTAAGTGTGGCTTTCAGTTCAAACATCATTAAAGTGGAAAGACCAGAGCCTTCAACACATGTAACAGCTGCAGCGATGGAGTGCGACTTCTTTTCAACATTGGGCTCTCGTTCGAGATTTCCAGCGTCATGGTCAGGAGTGTAAGCGTGCGCAGCGGTTGCCCAGATGAGGGCGGTCCTTTTTCAAACCGGCGATCTCGCTGAACAGTTGCTAAGAAGAAGAGGATGATGTGGCTGACAGGCTTCATGATGCCTTGACACCCTCGGCCAGAGGCCGAGAAAGTAGTTAAAGGTGTGGAAGAATCCGGCCACGCAAAGCCTAGCCTAGCTGAACAATTGCTTTGTTGTGGTTGTTGGCGACACGGTACCTTTGCCGTGGACGCCCTCGGCCGGAGGCCGAGAAAAGTCAAATGGGGTTAAGAAGAGACCACCCTGGAACTGCCACGAGGCCACCCCGGGGTGGAATCAACTGTGAAAAAGCTAAGCAGGGCAACCAGCAGCCGAGGAGGAGACTGCCGGCCGCCGCACTGGTCCTGGCCCCCGTCTGTGTGAAAGGCGGTGGCCAAATCGCCAGCCGCAGTCAGGGATATCAGTTGTCAAGCTGATGAGTCATGTAAGGGGCACGCTTAGGTGCCAGCGGGAATTTGGCTATACAAGCCGAGCATGGGCGAGCCCCCCGAAGAAGACGACGACGACGAACCGAACCTCCCGCAACACGGGACCCCCCCTCCGCAGCCGCATCCCTTGCGCGAGCCGCACCACACCAGCGGGGATCCGCGCGCCATATGCCCAGGCTCCCCCCCCGGAAGGGGAGCCAGCAGCCAGCAACCAGGCGTCGGCAGATCGCTGCACAACCAGTGTAGATTGGGGCGCAGGGAGGAAGGCACGAAGCGTCAAGGAGCCCCGCGCGCAAAGGAGCCCGGCGCGTCGCGCGGCCCCTCCCCCAGCGGGCCCGGGATCCCAAACCCGGAGTCTCAGCGGCAGGCCCTCCCCTGGCCGCTGGCGTCGGGGCGAAGCCCCCGTCCATGCACGCCCCTGCCCCGCAGTGGAGGCAAGGGCCGTCTCCGGATGCCGCTGGGCGGCTCTGTAGACGCCGCGCTGCGCACGGCACCGGCCCTCCGGAGGGGCGTAGGGGGGTGGGGCACTGGCGTGCCTGCCCGCGGCCGCTCAGCTTGCGCCGAGGAGCCGCACGTCCCAGCTGCCCAGGGCGTCCCGCTGAACAATTGCTTGTTGTGGTTAATTGCGACAGGCTGCCTAAAGGGCTAGACGCCCTCGATCAGCCGAAGGCCGAGAAAAGCAGTATGGGGTTAAGGAATCACCTTAGAAAAGCCCCGGAATGGCAGCGTGCAGCCGAGGAGGACTGCGGCCACCGCACTTCCTGGCCCCTGTCTGTGCGCAAGGGGGGGACACCCCCAAAAGTCAGGGAGAACAGCGTCGCACTGATAGGACATGAAAGGGGCACGCTTCGGTGCCAGCGGGCATTAAACTATACAAGCCGGATTTGGGCGAGCCCCCAGAGAAGAGGACGACGACGAGCAGGACCCCCGCAACACAAGGACCCTCCTGAACATGTTCTTCCATACAATCGTGGATTTCCCAGCCTTGTCGGAACTTGCGAAGGAAGGGCCTGGGACGGGAAAGAGAGCACTGCAGCATCGCAGACGCACCTACAGGTTTGTCCTTCTGGCTCTTCTCCGCCCGCTTCTCCTCTTAGATCTTGGAGCCTGTTTTTTTTAGACTCTGGCAAGTTTACTTGCATGGACGGGGGGGGGGGCTGAGTCTGAAGCAAGCCGAAAACAATTTGACATGCGGAAATCACGCAAGTCGAAAGGCACTTGCACGCTCGTGTTCGATTGAAGAGGGGCGAGGGGGGGGGGGGGGGGGGGGCGAACGCCATGCAAGTAAGCTTGCCTGGATATAAAGAAAAACAGGCTCTTAGATCTTCGAGCCTCGAACCTCCTTCTGGACGTCGTGTCGTCCTCCGCGGCCCAGGTACCTCGCCATGCACCTCGCCCTCGCCCTGGGCCGCCCGGGCCCGGCCGGCCGGATCCGCCGCCGGCTCCCCGGCCGGCGCCCTGGAAGGCCCGCGGGGAGGCCAGACACGTCTGGATTCAGACGTGTCTGGCCTCCCAGACGTGCAGGGGACAGACTTATCTCAAGATAAGTCTGTCCCTCCTTCTCGTCCTCCTGCCCCTCCTTCTGCTCCTCCGTGCCTGCCTCCTCCTCCTCCTCCTCCTCCTCCTCTCCTCCTCCTCCTCCTTCCTCCTCCTCCTCCTCCCCTTCCCTCCCCTCCTCCTCCTCCTCCTCCTCCTCCTCCTCCTCCTCCTCCTCCTCCTCCTCCCTCTCCTCCTCCCTCCCCCTCCCCTCTCCCTCCTCCTCCTCCTCCTCCTCCTCCTCCTCCTCCTCCTCCTCCTCCTCCTCCTCCTCCTCCTCCTCCCTTCCTGCGCCTGCTCCTGCTCCTGCTCTCCCTCCCTCCGCCCCTCCCTCCCTCCCTCCCGCGGGCAGGCCACAGGAGTCCGAAGACGCCCCTCCTGCTATTCGCCCTCCTTTTGCTCCTCCCTCCCTCTCTCCTTCGATCCCCCCCTCCCCCCTCCATCCCCCCTCATCACCCGTGCTCGCCTCATCACGGTCTGCCGCTTTGTCGTGGGTGGGGTTTTCGACACACGCGGCTATGCATGCGACATCTTGGCGCCTCAGTATATTCTTGCCACGCGGCGTGCTGGCAGTGGTGACGCTTGCCAGTAATGATTGTAATCCAACAGACATGTCTGCCTCCCTCCTCGAAGCGCATCGCGAGGAGTAGGCCTTGCCTTCATCGATGGCCACCAGTAGCGCGATGGCCGCACGCTCATCGTTGCTGCCCGGCCCAGCTGATGATACGCATCCCCAGATCTCTGGTGGGCTTGACTTCCCGATCCCGGCACTTTTCCTGTGCAGCCGAGTTTGTTCTGTAGGGCGACCAAGCCGAACGAAGGGCCTTCTGTCTTCTAATGGATTGCGTCCGATGTCTTCTGCACTCCTGTGGCCAAGGGCGGTCTGGGCTTGAGGCCAGGACGCCGTCGGAAAAGTCTCGTGTCCTCGCGCGTGCCCTCCGCAATCAAGGTGGGCTGTATTTCGACCTCCGAGGGCGTGTTCGGGGCCCAGGGGCTATCAAGAGTTGATCCGGGACGAGAACCTGCCCCTCGGGAAGTCGGAGATATGTGGGTATGCGCCTCAGGCGCTTCAGCGGGTCACGTCGGCCATCCGCTCAGAAGGGGGAAACATGCCGACGCGGGCGCCCCGACCTCGTTTCCGCCCTTCTGGGCCTCGGGGGGGGGGAGAGGCGTGTTTGCTTGCACAGGCTGGGCGCGCTTCGGGCTTCTGGCCAAAACCCGCCCCGAGAGGTGTCCGAGGCGTGCCAGCGTCGACCACGTGTGCGCAAGGGTGGCCTGCGCAAGAAAGGGGCCCTCGGTGCGGGCCCGCCCGATCACCGAGCGCGACGCTGTGGCAGCGGCCTGCGCGCCTGGGATTCTGCCCTCCCCCGCCGCGCCCCCTCGGAGGCTGCGCAGCAGTGGCCCATCCCGCCCAAGCGGGGTCGAGGCAGATGGGGTCCGTGGATCGCGCCGCGTCGCTGATGCATCGACGATTCGGCTCGACGTGGAGCCCGATTCTCTCCACGCCGACGGTGCCGATGCATCGCCGACCTCGCCGATGCATCGCCGGCCTCGCCGATGCATCGCCAGCAAACTCTGAGATCCAGCGCCGCGAAAAGATGCAACACTGTGAAGAATCGCGACCAGAGCCATCGACCCCATCGTTGCGCGGCATCTTGCGACCCGGACGCCCGCTATGAAGGATGGCGACGCCGGGATCTCAGGGCGGGGGCTCTCCAGCACCAGCAGCGGTGTCGGTGCCCCATGCCTCCTCCGAGGAGGGCCCCACGCGCAGGCTTCTCGACGCCTGGCCGCCCATGCAGGCAACGTTGGGTGAAGCGCACCACCACCACCACCACCACCACCCGGGAGTCTTCAGGATGAGCTGGTGTATGCGGGATGCGGCCTTCGTGATGCCCCACGAGAGCGCTCGATACGATCCATACCGCTACCAGCCCTGATCACCCTCTGCTTCTGTCCGTGAAGGTCCCCCAGAGGCCGAAAGCAGTGAACAACCTTCCGTCCGTCCCACGCTGTGCATGCGTGTGGGTGTGTCGTGTTCGCGCTATTGGGATAGCCCTCCTGATGGGCAGCGCATTGCTGGTTTCTTTGCGCGGAAATAGAACATCGCATGACCCGAGGAGGTCTGGGTCTGCCTTCATCCTCCAGGTGGGGGCTGTGGTGTGCCTCCTTCTCCCCCCGCCTCGGCGGCGACCGAGTGGGAGAAGAGAGAAGGGGCGGGCCTTCTCAGAAGACTCGTAAGTTCCCGATCATTTTTTCTCCAAGATATGTTGTGCATTTAAAGGAAGGCTCGGAAGTTTCCCAGCCCTGTGACAAGTTTTCTAAGCTTTCCCCGAAGACACAAAAGACCTGTCAGGAGGCGCGAGGGCCTCCGAGAAGCCCCGCCGCCTTGTGAGAAGGCCTTCTCCCTCTCACTTCCCCGCCCCTCGCTCGCCGCCGACCAACGCCGGCCACCTCCCGGGGCAGCGCCGCTCCGGCCACAGCCTCTCGGCTCAGGCCTGTGGGGCGTGACCTGCGCTGGGGGAAGCGTCAGACTCGAGTGCTCCAGGGCCCGGGTCTGCCGGCGCTTCTTGCCGAGCGCGCCCTGGATTTGGACGGTCCAGTGTTCGTGGGACGTCTGCAGCAGGAGTTCGCGTCCAATTTCGGAGGGAGTCTCGACATTTTTACTCCCCAATCAGTGCTTGCACTGGAGGGGGAAGTTAAAAGAGTCAGCGAACGTTTCCCGCCGATTCTGGCGGCCGGCTGGGTTCCCGGGTTCCCGGTTCCGGGTTCCGGGGTTCCTGGTTATTGGTCCGGGCCGATCTCGGTGGGCTCCAGGGTTCTGGGGTCCCAGGGTCCCCGTCGCTCTCCTCCTGGATCTGTCTATCGATCCCACCTCAAACCATCCACTGATTGTTTTTTTTTTTCTCTCTTGTGTCTGATGGCCCCGTCAGGCCAATTCTCTGGACGCCCGAGATGGGTACGGAAAGAATGGGCACGATGCCCAACAGCAGTTCCTGTTCATCTTGAACAGGATTCGCTGTGCACGCCGCCTGCCCAACAGCGGCCGCTGTTGGTTTGGGACAACACTTGTTGTTGGGCATTGTACCCATTTTTTCCGTACCCACTTCGGGCGTCCAAAAATTCCGAGTCCCCCGAGCCCGAGTCTCACGTCTCCCCTGTCTCCCCGCCCTGCATGGGCGGCCAGGCGTCGAGGAGCCTGCGCGCGGGGCCCTCCTCGGAGGAGGCATACGGGGCACCGGCACCGCTGCTCGTGCCGGAGAGCCCCCGCCCTGTGGAGGACGGTCAATGGAGAGGAAGCGTGTTGCCAAAGCAATCCCAGATGTTTAAAACATGTGTTAAATAAACATGTTTTCAACATGTAAAAAAACAGGATTCCAACATGTTTCCCACATTTTGAACACATGTGGAATTCAATGATCGGGCTGTTAGGGTGTCCATTGTCGTGGCGTCCGCAAGCCTCGCCCTGAGATCCCAGCGCGCCGCGGTTGTCCAGCAGCGGGCGGGTTTGCCTTGATGCGGGCCCGGGGGCATCACAGATCTATCCAGCCTCAAGTCGGGCCTGTCCCTCTACAGGAGGAATATACAAACATAGTAAAAAAAATATCCTGGCGAAAGACCCAACCATAAGCAATTGTTGGTAACGCGTCGTGGGTGCCGTTTTCGGTGGGGCTCCATATGGGGCCACGAAGCGCTGCCTTGGATGGGGGAGCCGCATGCGGACTGCGCCACCGGGGCGGGCCTTCGGTGGAGCTCCCTATGGGGCTACGAAACGCTGCCCTGGGTGGGGGAACCGCATGCGAACTGCGCCACTGGGGCCTTCGGTGGAGCTCCCTATGGTGCCACGAAACGCTGCCCTGGGTGGGGGAAGCGCATGCGAACTGCGCCACTGGGGGCCTTCGGTGGAGCTCCCTATGGGGCCACGAAACGCTGCCCTGGGTGGGGGAACCGCATGCGAACACCCCCACTGGGGCCTTCGGTGGAGCTCCCTATGGGGCCACGAAACGCTGCCCTGGGTGGGGGAACCGCATGCGAACACCCCCACTGGGGCCTTCGGTGGAGCTCCCTATGGGGCCACGAAACGCTGCCCTGGGTGGGGGAACCGCATGCGAACACCCCCACTGGGGCCTTCGGTGGAGCTCCCTATGGGGCCACGAAACGCTGCCCTGGGTGGGGGAACCGCATGCGAACACCCCCACTGGGGCCTTCGGTGGAGCTCCCTATGGGGCTACGAAACGCTGCCCTGGGTGGGGGAACCGCATGCGAACACCCCCACTGGGGCCTTCGGTGGAGCTCCCTATGGGGCTACGAAACGCTGCCCTGGGTGGGGGAACCGCATGCGAACACCCCCACTGGGGCCTTCGGTGGAGCTCCCTATGGGGCCACGAAACGCTGCCCTGGGTGGGGGAACCGCATGCGAACACCCCCACTGGGGCCTTCGGTGGAGCTCCCTATGGGGCTACGAAACGCTGCCCTGGGTGGGGGAACCGCATGCGAACACCCCCACTGGGGCCTTCGGTGGAGCTCCCTATGGGGCCACGAAACGCTGCCCTGGGTGGGGGAACCGCATGCGAACACCCCCACTGGGGCCTTCGGTGGAGCTCCCTATGGGGCCACGAAACGAATGGGTGCCTGGGAACCGCATGCGAACACCCCCACTGGGGCCTTCGGTGGAGCTCCCTATGGGGCCACGAAACGCTGCCCTGGGTGGGGGAACCGCATGCGAACACCCCCACTGGGGCCTTCGGTGGAGCTCCCTATGGGGCCACGAAACGCTGCCCTGGGTGGGGGAACCGCATGTGGACACCCCCACTGGGGCCTTCGGTGGAGCTCCCTATGGGGCTACGAAACGCTGCCC